CCCCCCGAGCTCCGCTGCGACCGCCCTGTGCTGCTTGTCGCGGGCAGGTCACGCTGCAGGAGTGACAGGGCCCGGGCGCACGGCGAGCCGTGCCGATCCATCAGGCGGACAAGCTGACAGCGGGGCCTGCACCCAAGCAGCAGACACAGACCGAGGGAAACGGGCTTCTTGCTCCCTACCGCTGGCATTTGTGCAGCTTCCCCCTAGACCTGCGAGGCTTAAGTAGTTAGATTAAGGGTTGCAAGAAAGCTGCAAAGTTGAGTTCGGGGAATTTAATCTTTTTACCAAGTTTAGCACATAACTTTATTACAGTTCTAAACATTCACACAATGACTGCATTTTGCTAAATTAGACTGGCCGTGTACACTGGATCAAGCATTTCAAAGAGTTCAGGTTAGAACAAACAAAATCAAATATAAAAAATACAATATACTTTAAAATTATTGAATTCTGAAGTAAATGCTGTTAGTCTGTAAGGCTAGGATAAACTGTTGCAGTTCAGCCTGAAAAGAAAGGTGTTCATGATTTCAGAATCAAGAAGGTGACACAATTCCATGCATTTAAAAATATTTTATTGTAAGATGCCATGTTCTAACTTTCTCCAGCTGTGGACCTTCACTGTGCCGGTACACACACCTAAAGAAGTGATTGTTGTTCCTTGGAAAGTTTTCCCAACGGTCTGCATTCTACTGATAGATTCTTCGTGGCTCGCGCAGAATGACACCCCCCTCCTCCATAGCTTTTTCGAATTCCTGAATCTTGTTTAAAAGATAGAGAGACACGAGTAAGTACAAAGAAAATCTATCAGCACCGACATATCAGTGGGGACATGTTACGTGGGGGGCAGAGGTTAACAGCCTCCCTGAAGCATAATGCCAGGAATCGCAGCTTGTCAAAGTTACCCTTTTGAGTGTTGCAAGAAGGGATTGTCAAGCCACGTAAGAAAATTAATGGTGAAGAGGAGTGAAATTAATGCTTAGAAAGGAAAAAAGGCCAGACGACTGTCAAGAGATGGGTACTTGCCGAGTCACAACGACGTTCCCAGGGGATAACAGCTTTAAAGTTCACAAAGTTGATTCCTGCTTCCAAACAGCGCTGTGCCATTACACGGCCAAGGTTTTTGCACGCTGTTACTCCCTTAGGACTGTAAAGGTGTCTCTTTATGGCCCACTCTCGGGTAGAGGCAGACACCACAACATCCCCATTACAGCGCTCAACGAAGGCTTCGACATAACGCTGTGTCCGCTCAAGCCGTAATCTGAGTGAAGGAAAGAAATAACATGGGATTAGGATCTCTTTTCCAGATCTAAAGAGAGAACACATTCAAATGTTTACATATGTAAGTGACTCACTTTAAATAACAATGTACTGGAGCTATTAATATAATAATGTTTTCTTAATATTGCTTTTATTACCTTATCTATGTTTTTGCTTACTTTATTAGGACATAAAATAGGACTCATAAAATAGCAACTTTTCACCAGTTACACAGGTGACAGTCCTATGCTGCTTCACGCCAGCAGTCACTCTGGACCAAGCACTGTACACCTGCACAGTGTGGTACGGGTGCTTATGAACTAGATCAGGGGAACTGCTCCAGCAGAAATGTAACCTTAGGTTTGCTATGCAGTCTCTTAAAGCTTCTGCTTACACAGCAGGTAACAACTTGTCGGGATCGGCAAGTGACCAAGCAGTACTTCATAAGCCGTAACACACGACCACAGAGTATTAGCAGCAACTATTTTCTACTGCACTGAGACAATATCAGATTTCCAGGTATGAACAAACTAGGCATGGTAGTCCCTCACGAACAAAATAAGGATTTTGAATCCCAAGCTTAAAATGAGCTGATTTTCCAGAGGATAAGCAATCAGCATTTTCTAAAAAAACCACCCAGACTATTATGGTGCCTCAAATAAAATAATGATGCATGGTCAGCACAGGTCTAGGAGAATCCTAAGTTCCCAGCACAGGGCTCGTCTCTGGATGGATCCCCATGGAGATGCTGACAGCACAATTGTCTCTCTCACCAAGGTTAACAGCACCCTGTGGGCGATCCCCTTGCTCAGCTGGACCGCACCTCACTTTCTTACCACTTCACGCAGTAGCTTGTCTTGGATTTTATGTTCTAGAAACTGCTGCTGTAACTGCAAGTCTTATACTGAAGGCTGTGTTTTTATACTGTATTTTTGCACCACTTTTTGAGAAGTATTGGTAAAGAGTTTGCTTTTTTATATACATATAAAA